TGCACTACAATTTTAAGTTGAACTAGGTGGCTGATGTCCACACTACCCTCCTTCTGTTGGTGGTGCATGTCCTTACCAGGAGCACTTCCACAGGGAGATCCACACCCACAGTCCAGTCAGCTGCTGTGCTCCCGGTGGGGAACTGAGAGCCCGGGGGGAGGGAGGGGGCGCAGGGCTCCCAGCGGGGAGTCTGAGTGGCAGCCCAAATTGGGAGCCTGGGTGTCAGCCTGGCTTGGAGCAGAGACCCGGCAGCAGCCTGGCTGGGGAGCTGGGCCTTCTTATCAATTTCATGGCTGCGGTGGAAGTAAGCCAACAGCCGATGTAAGTAACAGTGTCTACACTGATACTGCGTCACCCTAACTCCACTGACATAACCCCTATGCTTCTCATGGAGGTGGATTTATTATGTTGGTGTAGTAGGGCCCTTATGTTGGTGAGAGCAAGGCTGTAGTGTGTACACTGACATAGTTAGGTCAACATAAGCTGCCTTATGATGATGTAACTGTGTAGTGTAGACCAGGGCTAAGTTTGTAGATTTCCCAGTGTCAAACACAATGACCCATGCTTTGAAGTCAGCATGCTTCTTCATTTACCGCTCCAAGGCTCCAATCCCGATACAAGAATAGTACCATTATGCATTCATTTGAGCATTCCAAGCAATCTTTCATTAGTTGAAATGAAGTTTACACATCAAATAAATTCTCATCCTAATACAATCACATGCTTTTGATTTAGGGTTAACTAAGTGTAGGGACATAGATAATGTAAGGTTATCGCAATCAACAGGTTTATGGATAAGCGAGAACAATTATATTACATTTCCTCTGAAATATACCAACACAGAAGTGAATTGACCTGATCACATTACAATACCTTTTGACACTCTGTTGATTTCTCTTAGCATGTAAGTGAATTAGGCTGCTGCCTTGGTCTGAGCTGGCAACCTGATAGACAGCATCACAGCTCCTTTCTAGACTTCAAGAGTATTAGCCTCTGAGAGCTGAGGACACTGCATCAAGTGACATTTTGGGAAGTAGACGGGCAGAATGTGAAGAAGATAAACTTAGAAGGTAACACTGCAACAGGATGGAATCCCTACAAATCACCCATCACCTTCAGGTGCCACAGAGGCTGAAACCACACTTTTTCCACCCTGCTTCTGCTCTTTGTTATATTTAAATGTATTTTAAATGAGGAAAATGATTCAAAACATCTTCAGCACACCCAAATTCAACATGTGAACAACTCGGAATGAGACAATCTGTTCCAAAGGGTGAACTCCGTGGCTCTAACAGTCACTTTGCAGTGGGAGGAAGAGCATAAATGTAATGCTCCAGATTGGCTTTGACTAGGAAACGGAGACTGGGTCAGGTCATAAGGAAACGTGCTAGAGAACCCTGGACACTAGACATGAGCAATGTTGTTACTGTAAGATTAGTTGTGTTTTCACATCAGGATAGCTAACATGAGCTACCTAACTCCATGGAAAATCCTACTGGGGATGAGGCCTAGGTAGATTGTTACGCTGATATAGCTAGTTGAGATCACCCTTATCTCCCACACCTTGAGCTGACTGACATTCCTGGCAGGAGGGACACACATTCCCATGAGTCATAGGACTATGGAGTTTTACAGAAAGGCCCATGAGATTCACTCCAAAGAAGGGCTAGCTGCAAAAGAAAAAGTGGGAAACCACATGAGGGCCCACGGTGAAGCAAATGGTGCAAACAGCCTTAACGGTCTGGATGTCGGAATTAGGAAAAGTATTAGAGGGGAAAAAAACATTTGTCAGCCCTAAATATGGTTTTTTATGATTTATCATTTCCCTTGTGGACTTTCTGATGCCTAACAAGTTGTGAGCTCTCAGTAAAGCGTTTCCCGCACTGGCTGCATTCATAGGGTTTCTCCTCGCTGTGGATTCTCTGATGTCTAAGGGCTGAGCGCCAAGTGAAGGTTTTTCCACACTCGCTGCATTCATAGGGTCTCTCTCCTGTGTGGATTCTCCCATGATTCATAAGGTGTGAGCATTGAGAGGTTTTCCCACACTCAGTGCATTGATGGCGTTTCTCTCTTGTGTGGATTCTCTGATGTTTAGTGAGGGTTGAGTGCTCTGCAAACCTTTTCGTGCACTCGGTGCATTCATAGGATTGCCCGCCTGTGTGGCTTCTCTGATGTGTAATAAGGTGTGAGCTCTCAGTAAAGGTTTTCCCGCACTCACTGCATTCATAGGAATCAGGGGGTAGCCGTGTTAGTCTGTATCTACAAAAACAACAAGGAGTCTGGTGGCACCTTAAAGACTAACAGATTTATTTGGGCATAAGCTTTCGTGAGTAAAAACCTCACTTCTTCGGATGCATCCGAAGAAGTGAGGTTTTT